ACAACAAACAAAACACATAACTAATACTCTAATACCGCGATCACAGTGTACCTACATCAGAAAAAAAAAGTCTCCTGCAGTGAAAGCTGGTTTCCTGTTTGCCGGCAACCAGCGCCGAGGGGTACCGAATTTCATGGACACAGTGCTGACGACTTGACGAGAAAAAAGCAAATAAAACCGGCCTCTTGCAAGGTACAGCATAGTCTTCACGTCAACATAGGGTCAAGCTCATCTGAAGATCAATTTATTGCCTTGGACAGCTCTGTAACTAAAATAATCACTAGAAAGAAAGTTGGTATTCACCCCATAAATCGTGAGAGGGGACATTCTGGTGAATATCATTATTAGTTCAAGGCGGTGAAAGATGTCCCCGACCGCTTTATTCAGTATTTCTTTAAAAAACATTTGTCAACTACATACTACTAACCTTTGCTCTTAGTTAAAAGTCTCGTCGGTCTGCTGGTCTGTCAGGTCTGGCTACCCAGATACCAAACATGTTTAAGGAGAAAAGGGAAAGAAGGAAAGAAAAGAAGGAAGAAATTGAGCAAAGAAAAGAAGTAAATCATTTGAAATAGCTTAAGCATTATTGGTTTGACTATTCGCATTATTTTGTAACTCCAAAAAATAATTTTGATCGGTTTTGTATACTGAAATAATTTTGGCTGGTCTGAATTTACAATTTAATTTTGATCACAGTGCGAGGCGCGGCCTGGAATATTTGCGAACTTTCTCGACTGTGTAGTCTACTGAATCACGCAACAGAGGGTTGCTGTGCGATTCCGCTTGATTATGACGCCGCTGCGCCTGTTGTTTTACGTAATCCCTTAGATATGGGATATCAACATCTCTGTGAATAGTCTCATTTGACACGTACCAAGGGGCGTTAGTAATTGTGCGTAGGGTTCTGTTTTGCAGGACTTGCAGGACTTGCAGTCTCTGCATGTGCGTATTGGCAAGAAAACACCAAGCCGCGCATGCGTAGGTGATTGCGGGTCTTATGACCATTTTATACAACCGAATCTTGTTGATCAAACTTAATTTTGAATTTCTGTACAAGGATAAAGCTGCCAAAAGGTAATTTGGAATTTTGTTTTCAAAATATCAGTATGTTTCTGCCAGGTCAACCCCTTGTCAATGATGACTCCAAGATACCTGACAGATTGCTCCCATGGTATACGAGTTCCATTCACTGATATCTCTGAGGGGACACCGCGACGTTTTTTAGTACAATAGATTGCCTGCGTTTTCGAAGTATTAATTGTGATCAACCACCGATCCGCCCACTCCAATAATTCCTCCACCGCACTCTGCAGCCTGTCGTGAACCAGGTTACCAGAACAAGACTGGGCTAGCAATGCAGTGTCGTCAGCATAGAGTCAGACGTCACAGTTGCTGGGGCAAGGGACGTCATGTATATAAAGTGAATAAAGGATTGGCCCTAAGACCGAACCCTGAGGAACACCGGCTCTTACGGGACGGGTTGTTGACAACACATTGTTAATTTTGATCCGAAACTTCCTTCCTTCTAGAAAAGATTTCAACAGTTTTAGTAGCCAAAATGGAAAACCATTTTGGATGAGCTTATACAGGAGGCCCATGTGCCACACCTTATCAAATGCCTTTGATACATCTAAAAGCAAGATACCAGTACTTTTGTTCAGGGTGAACCCCCTGGTTACATGCTCCACCAGTCTAACTGCCTGTAGTTTCGTACTATGCTCAGACCGAAAGCCGAATTGCACGTCAGGAATCATACGGTGATCTGACGAGAAATTCTCAAGGTGACGATAAATCACCTTTTCAGCGAGCTTAGGAGCTGACAGCAGACTAATGGGTCGGTAATCCTAGGGGAATATAGAACCTGCCTTCTTTGGGATCCTGATGACTTCAGCGACTTTGCACGCCTTAGGAAAGTAATGAGTTTTGAGCATTGCATTGATTATTGCCACCAGATAAGTCAAAGCCTTGAGTGAAAGCAACTTCAGTGCTTTGTTGGTGATTGTGATTGTGGCCTTGGAGCTCTGCTGGTGTGCAAAACGGGATCTCAGAGGTTTCCGTTGATGTGCTATGCTGAGATTCATCTGAAGAGTTTTCCGTAGAAGAATCTTCAGAAAAGGAGTCACCGATGCTAGCACCGATGTTGATATCGCCATTCGCTTTGAAGTATCTTCTGACAGATCTTACAATTTGTCGTTCCTCGTCCAGGTCATTGTCCAGATCATAATTGAGAGTGAACTGCCTTTCCATGACGTCAGCAAAAACCTCCACTTTATCACCAGTCCTGAAAACTATACCTCCAGGACCATGAATATGTGGTAATTGTTCTTGCCTTCCGTTTCTGAGCGATTTTGCCACTTTCCAGAGAGGAATACTTGATTCAAGCATCCCCGCCAGAAAGTCGCTCCACTGCTCATTGCGGAATTCATGGAGTGCATTTCTCACTTCATGGACGAGATTCGTCGCTCTACGAATGTCATCAGGATGACAATCCCTTTTTGCTTGTTTAATCGCAGCACTCTTTTCAGAAATTTTCCTACGAATGTCAGCAGGGAGAAAAGGTCTGCCGTCTCGCTGCACCGGAAGCACAGCAGCAGACTGTAGGGTTTGGTGAACGAAACTTGTCCACTCCGATTGAGCAGCATCAATTCCGTTTTCATCATGTATGACCGGTACGCTGAGAAACTCTTTGAGAGATGACTTGTATAGTTCCCAATCAACTCTTTTCCTTGGAGGAGTTTCGTCCTCCACGAAATGCCCATTATCTACCTCCAGAACAACAGATAGAAGGTCACTACAGATGTCATAGAAGATCCTAGAAGCAACACTGATCCTACAGTTTTTAGATATTGCATAATTCGAGAAAGCTACGCGATGTCCTGGATTAAGTAATGTTTCCTGCAGCAGAGCTACGTCTATACTCGCATCCAATATAGTTTTATGAAATTCCCGTTTTTTGGGAATATCCCTTAGGCCAAGACAATTCCAAAAAAGAATGTTAATAAATGCAGGCTATCTATTGTACTTAGCCATTCAATGGCTGCGGAAAGATCGCCTGCAATGCCTGAGTGGCGCTAATCAGGGGACTTATTACTTGTTGAAGCGACCTAAGCGCAGTTGCTAGGTCCATATTCTGCGTGTTCAAAGTAAGTTGAACAAAGGGGGCAGCTGAAGATGTTGAGACGGCTGCCTCCGCGTATGACTTGCTGCGTCTTTGCGCTATGACTTCCAGATTTCGCCTGGGGGTGAATCTGCAAGTGGGACTATTAGTGGGATGCGCCCCTCCACATTCCTCTTGTCCTGTGACGGGGCATAAATCTGTCATGTGGTCGGAAGTACATTTTACGTAAACATTTGGGAGGTGCTGTGCAGTAAGACTGCGCATACCTTTGGCAGCGGTGACACTGCCCAAGAAGTCTAGAGTTCTTTTGAACTTCAACTCTGATTGCTAGACCCAGCAGCTCATGTTCATTGAACAGCTGCTAGGACTTATCAATCTTGGGCAGTATCACGACCACCAAAGGCATGGGTGCGCCGCCACTGCGTTTGAGTCGGATAATGTGGAGAGGAGTATATCCCCTCTGTTCTAATTCCCCTTTGAACTCTTGTTCCGAAAACATTGCGGGTATGCCTCTGACTATGACTGAATATTTCGTTCTGAAGGAAGAGGGAACGTATGATGGGGCACGTCCTCCTCCCTGAACAGGCGAACGATTCTTCGGTAGTCATCCTCAGTTTTCGGCAAAATCCTGATTCCCGTATCAACGGCAACTGCGCGTTCTATCTTAATGCCTAAGCTTATAATGGTGTAGTTTAGATGTCGCCACTTGGTCGCATCACTCAAAACAATGGGCGTGATTCGCCACTGGCGGGGTGCTGTGCTGGTCAACTCACCAGCAACGTGAGATTGTTGAGATAATGCACACTGCACAGTCAGTCGATGCAGAGCCAAAGATTGAGATGTGGTCGCTGCATCGACCGTCATAGGACAAGTGGCAGAAGAAGTTGATACGTTTAATGAAGCAGAAGGTTTTGAGGGGACTGTCAACTTGCATTTTGATTTTGCTTTTGGAAGAGGTGGGAAGTCATCCGTCTTGTCGGTTTTGTTCGTTTTGTCGATGCGTCTTTTCCTAGACTTGGCCTGGATGAATCCGTCATTCTAAATTTCATCGTTGGTCGATGTCACGTCAGTTAAATTTTCAAGAGGTCTTTTTAAATTGATAGCCTTGTCAGATTTAGATTTAAAATTTGCATTATTGATTAACTGTGTTACCTGGGTGGTCAGGCAGTCAATTTTAATGTTTTGGTCCCTAACTGTCTCAGTCAGCTCCTTTATTTGCTGGTCCTTTCTTTCGATGATCAGGGTCTGGCGCTGGATGGTTCTGTCCTTTTCGTCTGCTACCGCTGGTGTCAGCAAATCCTTTGATTGATTTCATGGTAATTTCTGTTCTCTCCTTCACGAGCAAAATTATGACGAATTGTAAATTATCCCTTATACCGGGCGAATGTCAACTACATTTCTGTTACTGCGTTGTATTTTTTTTATCACATATAGGGCATTGTTTGTCGATTAATGCGGTTAACTTGTCTATATCCATTATCCACATCAACGTCCTCTGACAACCGGCGAGAAACAACTAAATAATCATTGCGGCAAAACCGGTAACGCCGACTGTCTGCGCCGAGAAGCCTGCCACCTGCCTCTATTGTGTTATTGCCACTCAAGAGCATGATATTATTATAGAAGCTTATAGGCGCCGATCGGAGCTGGTTACTGGTAAGCAGGAAACCGGCTTCCACTGTGTTTTCGCCCTAAGGCCTCAAAAGCTAATTAGCTGAGGGACAACTTAGAAAGAACCCCCCTACGCTCATTGAAACGAACCTACCTATCTACCTATTATTACCTATATTTATTAATGTTATATGATTTGAAGGATTTTATTGAAAAAGTCCGGATTCTGGGGGATTTTTATGCTTGTCTGGGGAAATTCCGTCTGACCCATCTAGCAACGCTGATGGCGTTTCATGACGTTTGTAAATATTTTTTGTAGGTTATGTTATGTATACGTCATGTGATGTTGAGTTTGTAGTTTATATTTTTAAAGATTTATAGTTTCAATTTTCGATCATTGTTTTTAGAAGTCCTTTTTTAAGATCAGTTCAATATAACCGACGGAATGCAGCAAAGAGAAGAGAAACAGTTAGAATCTGCTTTAGAAGCAATAATCCAGAGGGTGAACGATTTGAAACAGTCCATAGCCGCAATGATATTCAAAATAGAAAATGAGTATGAAACTATGAATTGGCCCACTTTTCTAGACAACTTTGCCCTCCTATCTGGACAGGTAACTTTTCTCATCCTTACCATATCTGTATCTAAAAATACATTGTCATATATTTCAGCTTACCTCACTATCAAAAGTACTTAGCAATGATAAATGCCCAGTACTGCGTAACTTGACTGTCTTGCCTGTACATCTATCTCCAGAGAGAGATGAACAATTAATACAACTAACTGAAGGTAGGGTAACTACTTTTGCCCATGACCTTGTTCCTGATTACCTAAGAACCAAACTAGAACCTCTGGCAGAGAATAAGATGCTGCAGTTAGAACATAAGGCACAAAACCTTCAGTATGATAATGCTCAGGTAAATTATCAAAATATTAGTTTGAGACCTCATTTGAATTCATCTGAGATTGGTTTATAATAATAGCAAATCATTGATATTCATTTCTTATTAATTAAACACCAATGGGAGACCTGAAAGGACAGATCCAGCCTTTAAGTCAGGGGGATCACTTAGTTACACTTGGAAACGTTGGGGGATTGATGTTCAGGAACATGTTAATGTTCTTGATAACAGCCCCTTTATGGATCTGCCTTAGGAGACCTAATCTTAATGCTGCTTGTAGGTATCACATTCTATTTTACTTATTAATTTTTTTCAGAAACAAATAACAACATATCAGAAGATAATATCCCATGTATGGGACATTGTCAGCAAAGCAAGGGAAGAATGGGAGGTAGAATCTTCATCAAGAGGAAATGCCCAGCAAAATTCTAGTGTAGCTGATACTCACCTTCTAGTTGCTGCTGTTGGCATGGGTAAAGGCCTTAAAGTAAGTAGAGCAATATATTTAATACTGCAATTTTTTTTAATCATTCCTCCACTGCAACCAGCAACATAGCTTGAAAACGTGAAAATACATTTAATTATAAGTTATCTTAATTTCCTCAATACATATTGTAATTTGAATATAGTAACATACCTTGCAGTATAATCTTTACTCATTGTGTATAGATTAAACTTAACTCCAGATGTGATTAATTTAACAAATTGGAACAAGTGATACCACACTTTGATCAGAAAATCAACAACTCGAGCAATAACATAATCTAAACCACCACATTGCATTGACTATCACTTGGTGGTTGGCTGGAAAAGCTCAACATTTATATTTATTGTCAGGTTTTATCAATAATTTGGTATTAAACACTTTCAAAAAAATTCTACCAGACAGGTTGAACTACATATTTAAGATTATCAAAAAAAATTCCAGATGGGACCAAATCCAAATGGTCAGTCAAATCCAACATCTGGAGGCATGATGGTCACTCCACAAGGAAGAGCAGGGGGTCCAGCTGGTCCTGGACAGTTGCCTTCCAATCCCCAAGGCATGGCAATCAACAAAGCACCTTCAGCCATTAAAACTAACATAAAAAGTGCTGCGCAAATGCATCCTTATGGTCGCTGAACATGTAGCTAAGATTCTCTAAATTGTTGCAATAAAAGGTGAACTGGTGTTCAAGTGGACTTAAAAAAAGTAAAGACTTACTGGGTCTTAGTATAAATAAAAAACAAATAAGGCTGTTCTTAAACCATATATTAAACCAAAATATTGATTGATATTGTCACTTTCAGTGTTTTTCTTGTTGTTTTTGTATCTCGTCCTTTTTTATCATTTACAACTTACAGTATTCCAAACCAATTTACCTGGACTATAATCCTTACAATAACAAAAAGAAAAAGGGTAGTCAGTTAGTCACATTTACAGGCATTTCTTAAGGATTGAGTGCCATCTGAGGAATGATCATTACTTGGATTTTAAACAATAATGCTTCTTTGAGGAACGTTTAAGAGGGGATTCAACATTTGTATTTCACATTAGGCGAAACGCCGACTTATAAACTCTGACGTTCCTCGCCACTGTGGTACGGTTGCCGTAACGCAGAACTTGTATCATACGCATGGATTTACACTGTTTATAAACTGGAATTCCGCAACGTTCGTTCACGACGCTGACGGTAGACTTTACGAAGTTTCTGCCGATTCCACCAATGAAAAAGAGATTGCAGATCACATGTTTACATCTAGTCTACAAACAAATTTTGACTTTACATATGTAAAAAGAATGCAATTTTGAGTTAGGCTATGCGACACGGCCCGTAACGTTAACAAGTTTATAAAGTGATTTCAGCGGCAGCGTTACGGTAACGGTACACCGGCAGTACGGCAACCTCAGAGTGTATACAGGATGTTCATTTGAAAACTTCCAACCAGAACTTATCGAAAACCACTGATTAAAGCCACGTCAAAAGATTTGCTAGGGGGGACAAATTTTTAACCAAAAACTACTTCACCCTGTGCCCCCAAAAGTTTACATTTTTCAATGACAATAGGTATGAAGTAATAGCTTGTTTGAAAGGTCTCGCGAAGTTCTTTATTTTGACGTTTTATTTTTTAAAATCGTTCGATTCGTTTTCAAGAAAATTAGAAAAATCTTTATTTATCTTAATTTGTTCAGATAGTAAACAAAAACACACGAAAATATCGCTTTTTATTTCAATAACAATGATATAGACGATGTTCAAATTCCTGACGGACATTTTCAAAAACATGTTGTGGGATATCATGGCAGCTGTCGATGATGCGTTGACGAAGTTCATCCAAACTTCCAGGTAGGTGAGTAAACACAATAGATTTCAAATTGCCCCATAGAAAAAAGTTAAATCAGGAGATCTAGCAGGTCATTCTATAGGTCTTCTTCGCCCTATCAATTTATCTGGCAACTCGTCGTCTACCCATTGCCGAACCGGAAGAACATAGTGATGAGCGCCGTCTTGCTGGAAATACATTTTAGCCTCATCAAGTAGGTATAGGGTTTCCATCCTCTGCGATTTGGTTTTCAATGGTTTCAGTGATAAGCGATTCATTGTATTTTCCAACATATATCCAAATAAATGTCTGCATTCAAATTTCCATCAATAAACAATCGCTAAATCACGTTGTTTCCTAAAATGCCTGCCCATACATTAATTTTTCTAGAGAACTGGGTATGCCCTTCTACAAAAACATGATGATTTTTATTGTTCCATTACTTGCAGTTATGCTTATTAACAATTCCATATACACAAAATGTGCATTCATCATTGAAGCAGATATTCTTTACATGAATGGTATTATCATTAATCGCTGCAGCCAAATGTTCACAAAACTCAACTCGCCTATCAAAATCATCTTCGGTTAACTGATGCAGTATTTTCATTTTGAATGGATGAAATTTATGGAGTTTAGTAACTATGTGAACAGAACGTAATGAAATCCAAGTCCCAGCAACAATTTTGCTTAATGAAGTATTAGGATTTATTCCAAAACTTCAACTGAGCGGCTTCATCCAAAACTCTCCGATGATGACGTTTCTTATTTGCAACAGATCCAGTTTGAGTAAATTTAGTAACTTCGCATAGTTTACCGATGACAGTGACTTTGGGCACCATAAATTAGAATCATTTCCACTCTTTCGGCTAGTGTGTAAACCATTTGGGAAGTAAAATCTGAATCAATAAATTAATTTTCACTATCTTAAGATTATCACAAAGGCAACTGTCAGCAAATTAAATTCTTTCTTTAGCTTAGCAACAAATAACTAAACAGGTACAACAATAAATACATTTCGCCCAGGATATGTGTCGATGAAAAGAATGCGGAAAAAAATCAGTTTGTTGTTTGGTTGATGCCACGTCGTCTAATCTTCCGAATTGCGTTTTAAATTATAAATGAATTGTAGATTTGGCAAACCCAACGGAAAAAACATTTTAAACACTTATTGAAATAAAAAGTGATATTTTTACTCGATACCCCTTGTCACATAAAATTTTTAAGGGAATGAGCCTGGGGGGCGAGAGTGAAAGATGGTGAAGTAGGTTAACCCTTTCAAGCCCAATTTTTTTTACCAAAAAAAATAATTTGTTGTCTTTTTGTGTAATTATGGTCTAAAAATTACGGTAAAAATGTTTTTTTCTGAAAACAATTTTTTTTTAGGAGAAAAAATGACTCCATTTGGAATCAGTGGGCGTAAGATAAGAAAAATGTAAATTGATAATGGTTTATTTTAGATTTAATTTTAGTTATAACAAAAGAGTAGTAAGAGTAGTAAACATTTAAAATTACTGATTATGGAATTTAATAAAACAATTTTTTTCATTTGACAAACATAGAGGCATGTTGCATTTCATGCAAGAAATTCTCGTATACGATTTGATGCAATTGCTACATCTCTGCTTTGGTTCTATATGTTCTGGCCAGTGAGAAAATCCATCAAATCTCACATCATCTATCGGTCTGGGCACAACAGGTCGTTTTCGTGGAGGCTGTTCAACTTCTGCATCCGACGGGCGTCCTCTTCGCCCTAATGATGCATTCTGTTGCAACATTCAATGTGCAACTTCAGCTCTGAAAGTGACCAGTCGTTTAAATTTTTTGATTCCTCTTGCTGAACAGTCTCTCCTGTACAAGAGCCATGCGTTGACGATGCAAATATCTATTAGATGGTAAATTATTCGTAAATAATAACGTCTAACACCTATTTTGATTCGGTACAAGGAGACGAGCATGTCATTTAAATCAACGCCACCCATGTATTTGTTGTATATTTGGATAGCATACGGTTGAGGGAGATCAATGAACTTTTTCTCTGATGAAGACCATCTTTTGACATTTTGTATAGGCTGCAGGCCTATATAAGTTGAGACGGCATGCACTGTTTTATTGTCAAACCATTTGACGGCAAATATATTTTCATTCTCCTCTGTGCAAAAATCTAACGAACCACGTCCTTCTTTTTTCAACTCCGCATCACTTTTCAATTGACATCCAGGCAGTCTGGCAATCCTTACGGTTCCAGATGCAAATATTCCCAGCTTTTTAAGTTCACAGAATAATTTATAAGACGTGAACCAATTATCTGTAAAAACTTTATAATTTCAGTTTCTGGGTAATGTCTCTACAAGTCTAACGACAATGTCACCACTGATTCCAAGATTAGTCTCTTTCACAGTCCCTTTATATTTCAAAATCATAGATAATACCGCTGAGTCCAGCTCTAGCAAATATCTTTATTCCCCATTTATGCGGTTTATTCCGAATAAACTGTTTGAGGGAACTCCTTCCCTTGAACGGCACCATGATTTCGTCTACCGAATTGTATTCTTCTTGCTCAATTTTGGACATATTTAATTTTAGGGCATCTATGACAGGTCATATTTTAAAAAGTTTGTCATAATCTGGGTGATCACGGGTCAACATATTTGTATTGTCATTGCAATGGATTTGAGTTCTTAGTTTATCAAATCTGTTTCTCGACATAGTATCAGCTATAGGTGAATAACGAGTTTCTTGTGCCCAATACATTCGATAGCTAGGCATCCTGACTATACCTGACATAATATTTATTCCAAGGAATTGAGAGATTTCTGTGAATGTGGTGTTGATACATGCCAACATTTGTTGTGTAGAATACAAATTTGTTTGATCAGTAATATGTTGAATTAAATTGTCATCAAAAAATAGCTTGAAATATGACAGCGGAGTTGAATCATTTTCCTTTTCGTTAGTAAATATTACGTTACATTCAGAATTTACGAAAGGAAGATCTGCTTTTTTCCACTTTGGAGCAATTTGTACAGCAGGCGTTGGGTGCTGGTTCCGAAACGTAATAATAGGTAAATCGTCTTCAGGGTCAAAGTCTTGTTGCATTTGTCTGTTAGGTTCATGTCCATTTTCATCAGATAGTTTATCTGTGTCCACTTCTAAGTTAGAATTAGATAACACTAGTTCTTCTGGAGGATCCGGATCATATTCCTCTTGTAATCGAAGGAACGTTTCTTGATCGAAATCATCTTCATCGTTGTCGGTTACACAATCCAAATCCGACTCGTCCCCTTGTAGCAACATCAGCAAGTGTTTTTCTTCCTCTTCCGTAAGTCCTACGCACCGACCTACGGTCGGCATCTGAAATATTCAAAATATGAAAATAGTAGATTACAGTGGCCCACTGACGCCAATTGGAATCATTATTAAAGTGGCGTTAGGCCCACTGATTCCATTTGGCATCATAACATTCTAAGTACATAGTTTCAACAATTTTACTATGATTTCAATAAATCCTCATTTTGTATTACTAATGACCTAATAATGCTATTTGTATTAATATTAAACACATAAAATATAAACTTACCTTGATTTTATTCAAGAACAAACAATAATTATTACACACAATACTGTAAACTTTGAATTAACCTAAAAATCGAAATGTCCATCGATATTTCACAAACTGGTATGCGTGTCGCCATCTGTGATCTATTGGCTATAATAAATATTGCCTGGGATTTCTATTTCTATTAATTTTCAGTTTTCTGTCGTGGCTTTAGGCAATATATTCCAATTGGAGTCGCTGGGCTCGAAAGGGTTAAAAAGTTGTCCCCCTTGACAAATCATTTGATGTGTCTCAGCGTTTTTTCCTTTATATATATCTTAACGGTTGTGATCACAGGTTTTCGAAATTTTTATAGCTACCAATACTTTCATGGTTTTCATAATTCTCACAACTTTAATTTTTTTCAAAATACAGCGTCTAATGTGAAGTGCAAATGTCGAATCCTCCCTTGAACATCCTTCAAGGATGTCCATTTACAGGACCTGAAATCTGTTGAAATTTCATTTATTCGCTAACGCTCATTATAGACAAGGTAAACGAATCGTGTTTTTTATACTTTATATTGATTGCAAAAGATCCTATAGTATTGAGAGACAAAAATCTGTCAATGCACCTGGACTCTATAATGAAATACAGGGTGCGGCAGAATAACTTCCTTTTTTCAAAACTTAACAAAACCCATTGTATGAATTGGAACATTTTGTTTTTTTTTTTATAATGTAGGCACATGCCTAAACTTTTGTTCTGCATAGTTTCGAAGATCAAATGAGATAGACGTTCTCGATTCTTCAGAAACTGAGTAAACCGATTTCTGGCGCATCCTGTGCAATGATTATATTGAATTACTGTCTATCATAGTCCAGGTAATAATCAAAGATTTTTTCGGCCTGTAGATTGTGTACTGAAATACCTTATACCATAACTATCTAAAACTGTAATGACTCATATGTTAAGTATACACGACGACACTAGACACCAGACACTAAATGTATACATCCAATGTCTGTGTGTGTACATCACCGCAACACTTAGTTGCAGATGTAGTGACGGTGTCGCTCAGTGTATGTGTCGCTGCCGTGGAGACAGGATGCATAGCGCTGTCCGAGTCTCAGTATTTCACGTACACTAATGACGTCACGCGCGTGGTCAGCTGAGGAAATAAAATCATTGATTTTATATTTTGAAGCGCTCCCAGAACTATGGCAAATATCAAATCCTGATTATAAAAATCGAGCAAAGAAAGCAGCTGCGGTAGAAAGCTTGGCCGAACAATTTAATACTTCTGCATCGGAAATAAATAGAAAACTGCACAATTTACGAACGCAGTTTAATAACGAACTGAGAAAACAAAAAAAAAAGAAGAGTGGCCAAGGCACAGATGAAAATTATGTATTCACTTGGGAGTACTTCACAAGCTTACAATTTTTAATGCCAAACACCGTACCAGCAAATGAAACACAACAAAATTTGGTAAGTTGTCTTTATTATTAATTTCCACTTATGTATCTGTACTGCCAGCTAACTTCGCCTTCATGAGATACAAAATATTCTGTATATTCTTCACGGATTTCTTTACTTTCATTAGACATGTTGGATCCCACTGGTCTATTTGAAAACAATACATTATCCGGAGGGGGATCTTCTCTCCAACTGCCAGGAGTTACTACACCATTAATTTCCTCGTCGAAGGTGCCTTGTGGTGCACACACATGCCTTCAATTCCGTTTCAAGAGAAAGTTATGCAACACGCAGATTGCAGATACAAGTTTTATAACTTTTTCAGGACATAATTCTATAGGTTTCCTTAATATTCTAAATCTGTTTGCAAGTAAACCAAACGCATTTTCTACCACTCGTAGAGCTCTCGACAGTCTGTAGTTATAAACACGATTAGGACCAGGTTGATTACGAAAAGGAAAAGGTTTCATAAGATAAGGCTTGAATGGAAAAGCATCATCAGCTATAATGACATAGGGTACATATTTGATCCTACCGGGAAGTGGCCTTGGTGGTGGTATTTTAAGTCTGCCGTTGCTTAGAGCATTTGAAAGTGAACAATTTGCAAACACGCCTCCATCGGAGACTCTCTCATTGCATCCTTTGTCTGTGTAAATAAATTTGTAATTGGCACCAACTAATGCCATTAACACAATGCTGAATGTACGTTTATAATTATAGTACACGCTCCCACTATGTTGGGGTGCTTTTATGACCACGTGCTTTCCATCTAGTACTCCAAGAGCATTTGGAAAATTCCATTTGTTTTGGAAATCTTCTGAAATTTTTTCCCAGCAATCTTCAGATGAAGGTACCTGTAATAAAAATTAAAAATAAAGTAATCTATGACTGAAATAAACATTTATTATTATTATTATTATTATTATTATTATTATTGTTATTATTATTTTCAGAACTTTCCTACCAACAGCGAACCTGCCAACAACGAAAATTTGGAATTAACAGTTTCGCAAAACTTCAACACCCTCTCTCAATCTCAACGAACCTCTAAAAAACGAAAGAAGGAAGATGAAGCTTTAGACCGAGCGTTAAGCGTGTTAGACAAATCTGATGATGCTGACATTTTTGGTGACTTCGTGGCTGCTGCGATACGGAATATGAGGTCGGAATCCCGAAAAAGAGAATTAAAACGTAAAATTCAACGTATCATTCTGGACATGGAAGAATTGGATCAAGCCGATCAATATTCACGTCCTTCTACTTCAGTCTCTTGGTCCTCTTACTCCACTGCCGAATGTGACTTGGGAAAGTTCGGAAGACACAACGTACGAACATTTGTACTAAGTTTTTCAATTGACCAAGGTTCACCTTTTATATTAATAACTAAAGAAAAATATTAATAAAACATAAATGTCTTTTTTATTTACTTACCTCCATGTAATCCGGTTTTAAACATCTATAGATAGCATCGCAACATTCTGGTATTATTTTGGAGATAGTTTGTTGTGATACCCGAAATAGGTATGAGAGCGATCGATACGAATCTCCTGAAACGAATAAAGTAAATGTTATAATTGAAAATGTAGTAAAAGGTGTAAAAATATGATTTACCTGATGCCAAAAATCTTAATGTTATCGCCAAACGTTCTTTTACACTAATAGCTAGTCATATTCGTAATCGCAGGTGAAATCTTGTTACATAAATATTGGAAATCGTCGTGTGTCATCCGAAGAAAGTTTTTAAAACATTCTGGATCTTCGTTTTTCAATTCAGTCAACAATTGGTTATATGCCCCTAGCTGCGCTCTTCTTTTAATCCAATCTTTAACCCTTATAGATCTCTTTTTACGCCGACGCATTTTAATGGAAACACATATCGCGACAATCGCGGCAGCACCACGTCTATTCATGGCGATGAAATATACGACACTGAATCGTGTAGACGGCAAATACACTTGAACCGGTATACTAGATGTATACAGGGTGTTTCAGTTTATTGTTGCATAACTTTAAGATTCGATAGAACTTTTAAAATTAATGCATAAAGTCTATATCAACATGGGTCGAAAAATGCGTGGCTTCCGAAATACAGGGTGTTTAAATTTACTTTCTAAAATAGTTTTTTTTAAATATTTCGAACAATATTTGATGTATAACAGTGAATATTGGTATACGACAAAACGAACCATGGACATAGTTTTACTGTAGCCGCTAGAGGGCGCTCTCTACTGTACCTGTAGTGTATTAAAATGACCGACAAATTTTTCTTAGTGCAATTTTTTGCTTTTTGAATAAAAAAGCTGATTCTTCGCACTTTTCAACATAAAAAAGCTCTCCTGTGAGTTTTCGTTATAGTTAGCCGTTTTTGAGATATTTCGATTTTTAAGGTTCGATGCATTTTTAACTATTTATGGGAAAATAATATTTTTTTAAATTTTCGATTTGGGCATTACAAGTAATTAAGACGATCGCGTAGATTGTGTTTTTAAACACAGCAATAATTCCTAACTCCAAATAAACACAAAAAATAATAATTATATAATATTAATTTCTTTAATTTTCCAATATTATTTTTAACAA